CCCCCCCCTCGTATGTGTGCATGTGTAAGACAAAGAGAGAGAAAAAGAAATTGGCTTTCACCAAAGTGCACTGTCCTGCCTGATCAGTTTAATGATAATCAGCTGTTAGGCTTAGATATTTCATTATTTCTCATGTGAAGAAGGGATAAGAATTCACTGCTTATTGCCAGCATGCTTGCTGGAATGCCTAAGCCAAGCTTTTCCCATCTTATGGAAAGATTCCAACTTCTCAAAAATGAAATTAAACCAGCAGATGCTGTGCCAGCTGTCTCAGCCCAGTTATAATGGACAAGTCCTTCCTGGGATGAGGAAATGAGTCCAGTGTCAAACAGAGACAAGGTTTTAAAACCATACAGAAGTAGCACCAGGAACTGGCTCTCATAAAATGCTTCCCTCATGTCAAAATGGTATCTACTTGTTAGTAAGGTATAGAACCTTCATTGTGGATAGCACTTTAAAGAGTACAAGAGGACTGATCCTCACTTCAAAACGTTTATTACCATTTAAAATTTGACACAGGAGGAACAATAGAGGAAAATGAGAGAAGGAAGAGGAGATCAGTGGAAGCAGGGGTAAACAGGAAAACATGATTGGTTATTTTCTCTCTCTGGGAGCAAGTGAATGGTTCAATGAGTCATGTCCATCACACACCAATGAAAAGCACTGACATCATTTCTTCAAATGTTGTAAGAGAGAAGTACAGTCAGCCCTCTACATTTGTGGTTTTGACTTTTGTGGATTTGATTATTCACGGATTTGATTAATATGTTCTCTCCAGGAATCTCTTAAGTCCTCCACCATGACTCTCTTGTCAACTTCTGCCAAAAGTCATGCTGGAAGACTCAGAGATTTGTAGGTCCTCCAGCACAATTTCATAGTCAACCTCTGGCAAATCTTGACCATAGAATTGCCCTGGAGGACCCAGAGATTCTTAGAGAGGTGTTCTGTGAGATAAAAAAAAAATGGGTGTCTGTTTTTTAATTTGCGGTTTTTCCACTTTCACAAGGGTCCTGTATCTCTAACCCCAGTGAATGTAGAGGATCCGCTATACTACCTCTGTAGAGGCAGTTAGGGGGGTTGCAGACTGCCAGAAATAGTGCAAATTGAGTCCACTTTTAGGGTTAGGGTTAATGCTAGGGAATCATGGGAATTTTTTTTTTCTGAGACATTGAGCCTTCTCTGCCAGAAAACTCTGGTGCCACAATAAAATACAGTTCCCATGATTCCCTAACCCTAACAGTGGACTCAATTTGCACTATTTCTGGCAGTCTGCAACCCCCCTTAGTAAGGAATATTTCAGGAAGAGTCACTGTTACATGAACATGAATCTAGGCTATGATAGCTTCTTTTTTTTTAATACATTAGTTTTGCTTATTCAGAAGTATCATTGTGTCCAATGATTGCAGAGGTGCTTCTTCTAGTGATACAAGACATCTGTTTGGTGACTTTCCTCATGAATGTATGTTGCTTTTATCATGCTTGTTCTGTAGTTGGTCCATGGAAAATAAAGACAGACTGACTTTGCAGAGTTGATTACTGAAACACACATCTCAAAGGAAACCCTATTTGGGGAAGGAAAAATAATTACTTGCAGGAAATATGCATTCCTCTTAATGTCTCAAAACATTTTATTGTCTCAAAATATTTTATTGTGTGTTATTCCCATGCATTTAGAGTTCATAAGAATTGCATTTGTGTGTGTGTGTTTTAAACCTGTTAAATTTCATTGAAGGGAACTATTGTTAAAAATATAGAATCAGAGTAAAACCAGGTTAAACAGATGATTAAAGCCTTCATTGCTCTCTGCAGTGCCCAAATGTAGGAGCTGTCAGAATAGTTCAACCAGTGAAACATCATAATCTGATGCTTGAGTGCATTTGAATTCATGCCAGCTCTGTAGATAGAACTTGTTATCTATTAATAAATTAATGTGAAAATCTTCAGGACCTTGTTTTGCTTTACAACAAGGTAAAATGCCTCAATAGCTGTGAATTAACATTTTAAATACAATGGATCAATTGAAGCTGCCTGTGAGTCATCCTTACTGATTTGCAATTCAAGGTCTGTGACACTAGGGTTTGCTGTTTTTCTTTTTTGGTTCTATTTTATTTATATGCTTATTAAATCCATTTTGGTTTAGAAAACTTCTTTCATAATGAAGGAGCTGTGCTGCTTCATTAATACTAGTTGCTTAGCTGTAGACCAAGCCATAATATGTAACTCCAAGGCAGAGATGGCCCTGTCATTAGACAAGATGGGGCATCTGTCTTAGGTAGCAGATGCTGGGGTGAGAAACTATGGCAAGTTATCTGAGAATGGAGATGTTATTGCATTAATTCTACTCTGATGTCCCATCTGCATGCCTACTGTTTCGGCTCAAATGAAAGACACTTTTCTGTTGCAAGAAGTGAAACAGAATACAATTTTAAGTCCACTTGGTTTTTTTTTATGGAATAGAAATGAAGGTGCTATCTAGTCTTTTGCTCCAATCTGCAATCTTGAGACAGCTCTAATCCATGGCTTCCTGTCTTTGTGAGATAGAGTTGTGTAGAGTTTTAAGTTGCAAAGGGATCTTGCAGCACTTTTTGAGACTAACTGAAAGGGAAAAAAGCTGGTAGCATAAGCTTTTGTAGACTTGAGTCTACTTCCTCAGATGTATGGAGTGGTGTGAGAGGTCCAGGGACAGACCTATATAAGCAAGCTATGTGTGAGAAAGCCAGTGTGGCATAACGGTTTGAGCATTGGGACTGTGACTTGGAGACCAGGGTTCAATTCCCAGCTTGGCCATGAAACCCACTGAGTGATCTTGGGCAAGTCACTTGCTGTCAGCCTCAGGGAAAGGCAATAGCAAACCTCCTCTGAACAAATCTTGCTAAGAAAACCCCATGATAGGGCTGCCTTAAGGTTGCCATAAGTTGGGAGTGACTTGAAGGAAATCAACAACAACAAGAACAACAAGTGTGAGAATGTCAGTAGAAATGCAAAACTTTGTGGACATGGAGATAAGGGGACAAGTTCAGTTTCAGGCTGTGCAGGTTCACCCTGTGCCTCCTGCACTGCTCCCTTCCTCAAGATGGAAGGCAGAAGCTGAGAGTGAGTAAAATGGAATAGGTTGGCCTGATTTACTCACTCTTGCCCTCCCTTTGCCTGCCTCAAAGTAGTCGTGGCATCAGGATTCTCATAATTTCATTGCCTCTAGCTATTTGGAGGAAGGGCAGGGGAAAAGGGGGACTAGGTCATTGCAGTTATCACCCTCTCACTTTTATGCATTGTCAAAAAAGAAAGGATGGGAAAAAAGGGAAACACATCGCTTTAAAAGTGGATTAAAATGCAAATGTGCATAAATTGTGTATGCATAGCCATGCATTTAAAAGTAATTGCCATAATGTAAATGGACAAATAGAACATCTCAGTATACAGGACACTGGGGACTCAGGTGTCTCTTTAGTGTCCTGTCTAGTTGCTGTTTTGTCTTTTTTTTTTAAACATATAACTAGTTGTAAGTGTCTTTCCAATTTCATATCAGAGTATGAATGAAATAACTAACTAACTATAGGTGAGCTCCTTCAAGGTCACTGTGATCTTCCTTTGTTTTCTTTAAATCAGATTTAGGCTGGTCTAAAACATGACTATCATCCGTAGGGCAGGACACATGGCCATCCTAGTTACTCACGCATGAAGTTTCTGTGCCTGTCCCTCTGTATAGGAGAGCAATGTTACATTCTACCCACAACCTCCTTCAGTCTTCTTTGAATTTATATTCACGAGATTGCTAACAGTGTTCAGCATTATTTGTTAGAGTAAGCAAGAGATCCTTTTATTAGAGCACTATGCTAGTAGTACAAAGAGATAACGTGGTATGCATTGTACTATGACTCAGGAAAGGTTTGATTCCCTGCTCAGCCATGGAAATCTATGTGGTGACCTTGGCCAAGTCATAGACTTTCAGCGCCAGAAAACCCTGTGATAGGCTCACCTTAGGGATGCCATAAGTCGGAAACAACTTGAAAGCACACAACAACAACATGCTAGGACATCTGAGGGTTGTGCTAGCAGTAATAATTTTTTTCCACAGTTTGTATAAGTGTCACAAGCAGTTCCCTATGTTGTCCAGCCCTGCTACATTGGAGCTTAGATGCTGGTCTCAGCTGTGTGCACTCCCACAATGAAGACAACCATTGATTGTTTGTGCAGTATGCCAGGAAATGCCCAGCTGAATGCCAGAACTGCTTGTGTCTTAGGGCTGACCACTCCTTCCCCATTTCCAACAGTCAGTAATCTAGTTTGCATATACTGCAAATGTGTTCTATTGCACCAGTTTTACACAGGCTGTATATTTTAATGACCTCATCTCATGATTTAACATATAAAAATCACTCAAAGTGGTTAAGCTAATTAAGCTAAAGAAGAATGTCATGTAAAATAGATTAAAACTCAGCACAGGATATCTCAGCCTTTACAGACTGCCAGAAATAATGCAGCTTGAGGACACTTTAACTGCCCTGGCTCAGTGCTAGGGAATCATGGGAATTGTATTTTTTTCTGGGACATTGAGCCTTCTCTGCCAGAGAGCTCTGGTGTCACAATAAACTGCCGTTCCCATGATTCCTTAGCACTGAGCCAGGACAGTTAAAGTGGCCTCAAGCTGCATTATTTCTGGCAGTCTGTAAAGGCCCTGAGTCTTTGGCAAAGATGCTCCTTTTTACACCCATTCGGCTCCTTTTTTTTCTCCCCATCCTCTATTGAGCTAGAAATCTATTAGCAGCATTGAGGGCAGTGCGGGAGGGCTGTAGAAATACAGATTTTGGTACCAGGTTGCAGCACTTTGTCTTCAGTAAAGAATGGGAGTCTGCTCCAGCCAATGCTACTGTAGCTGTATGTGCCTGTCTGCAACAGCCAAAGTAAACAACAGCTAACTCTAGAATCTCTTGTTGAGCATGTGTGAACAGCAAAACACAGAGAAGGGGGAGAGCAAGTAAGTCTGCCTCACCAGCTCTCCTGTAGAATCATAGAATCGTAGAGTTAGAAGAGACCACAAGGGCCATGCAGTCCAACCCCCTATGCCTGTGCATTTCATTTTTCCTACCTAATTTAGAGCCATCTGCAAATTTAATAAGCATGCTTTCTATTTCGTCATTCATGACATTTATAAAGATACTGAATAGTACTGGGCCCAGCATCTTAAACATGGAGAGATCTACAAATTTGGTCAGCAAAATAGAAATCTTAAGAAAAGTGAAGGCTGGTGAAAGGGGTGTGTGGTGGATGCAGTTTGGAAGAAGCTTTCAAGTTGTCTCTGTAGTGTTGAGATGTTTTTGTTTTCTCATGCATAGCTTACCTGACTTGTTTATTTAATTTCACATATGCATTTGTTAGTCAAAAGCTTCCAGAAACGCATTAAATTATACTTTTGGAAGCGCAGAAGCCTATCCCTGTTCTTTCCATCTTATTTATGCCCTAGTATCTGTTAATAAATATGTGTGCCTGGAAATAGTAGGTTACCTGGACAGATAAAAAAAAATTTGGTGCCCCTCCCTCCCAGAAACACAATCACTTGTTCATGTCCTCAACTGCAAGTATGCAGTCGTCTTTAAGCTTTAATGGGTATACCATTCAAAAGCATAGAAATATCTTCAGTTCTCAGGAGACCATCTCATAACTAATAGCACCCCTTACAGAAATATGAGCTGACTATGCTTGAACAATATATCTAACAAAGGTGTGGCCATTATATTTCCTCACTAGCTATCCAGAACTTTCCTTTGCCTGTTTGTGTTTTTTATGACTTTCAGCAGATTCTGCTCACATTCTTCCAAGGTTTTCCTGAAGAAGTCGACTGAAATCCATACAAGTTTACATGAAATACATTTTTTTACCGTGAATTATGAGCTCCATAGGACACCAGACTTTGTGCCAGCTGTTGGTATAATGCCTCCTATGTATGGCTTTTTGATTAAAATGGAGCACAAAGAAAAGTACGGTAGTGTCTGCCAAAACCTATAAAATCTAGGCTAGGCATTTCATTGTTCAGTAAGCAATCTGAATAACAAGCTCCAATATTTGACTGCAGCTTTTAAAAACTGAACCTGGCACTTTATGGTCCAGGAAGCTAGTGTGGCTCCAACATCCAATATTTAATGGCATGCCAGCTGGTTTTGCTGGAAGTATTAGTTTTCATCAGCTTTCCTTGGGCTTCCAAAAAAATCAAGTCTGGCAAAAAGCTGGTAACTGTCTGCACAATATCATTCTCCTCCTCCAACACTTATTTAACTTAATAGGCATATATAACAGTTAGTTTAAACAAAGAAAACCTTCTATTAGCATAAATTACAGTGGCTCCATGAGAAGTTAAATGTAGGGGCTGGAAATGGATTTGCTAAGTAATAAAGGCACCAGGTTCGTTTTCCAATAAAGCCTGGTGATTAACAAGTCAATTTATTAAATGTTCCTGCAGATTTGCATTGGGTTCTGTTCTATAGTGGAGGAAAAGAGTGGTTATTGTAGTATTAGTTGGTCTATTAATGAACTTAACTGAGTGCCCTTTTCCTCCAAAGTCATACAAACATTCAGTATCTCATGTGGTAGAGTCTTTTCCTGGGAAGTTACCAACAGAATATACCTTTATCCCGTATGTGGCTGGAGGCCACCATGATAAAAGAGTACAATTTAGTCTCCAGGAAAAGTCTTTGTACTGTCAGCTCTTCAAATAAATGTGGACATAGGAAGCAGCAAAACTTATCAACTAAAGCCGAATCAAGTTGCTTTACCTTCTGTCAGAGGAGTCGACCCTCAGAAAAACAAGTATGTGAGGACTCAAAGTTCAGTTTTCCAAGTATAGAATGCCTCTGCTTAATGGCTAAAATTGGTATCTTCAGGTCAAAAGAAGTTGCAGAGGTAGCCATGTTAGCTGTCATCCAACTAGCCAATCAATCAACCAATCAATACCTGTCTTGATACCTTTTTCAGGTCAAATGGAAGGAGCAAAATAACATCATATTAGCTTTTGAAGCTCAGACTGGGAAGAAATTTAATTTAAACTTTAAATTTATTTAAGTGTAAGGACATTCAAATAAGAGTGGGCAACATGTAGTCTGTGGCCAGGATGCCCAGTGCCATTTTTGTAGGCTCCTAAGACATGCCCTAAGCCACATTATGAAAATACAGTGGTACCTCTACTTATGAATGCTTCTACTAACGAAAA